ATTTTTCAAAAAAATAAAAATAAAAAATAAATAAAAACAAATACAACGAAAATCGAAAATATTTTAGATGGATTTTAATAATCCTCTCCAAATGCTGTAACACTGTAAACGCATATAAGTATCCTGATATAATTTTAAAAAATAAGTTTTCCAAATATTATTGTTCGATAGTGCGCTTTATAGTCCACCACCTCCAATATCCCATTTATCACAAAAGTGAGCAGCGATATGCAAATATGTCAGTTTTTTTTTTTTCAGTTGTATCTGCAAATGTCCGGATTTAATTGAAAACATTTTCTTAATTCACTGCATGTGGGTGTTATAGTTGGAAATTAGTAACAAATTGAAATAAATTTATGCTATTTTAATTAGTCACTTTTAGTCTAATTTGTTTAATTGAGAACACTTGCAGAAAGGTTAAATAGCAGCTAGCCGACACACAATCATATACATATTTTTACATATTATGCAAAAAAAAAATCGGGGTGAATAATCAATGATGTACATTAGCATAAAAATATTAGGAATATGAAGATTTTGGAACACTACTGAACAACAATAAAATATCTAATAAGCTTCAAAATAATGGAATCTTTTAAAAGCCGTACTCCATGTGAGTTTATGCTAAATTCTTCTCCAAAACATAATTTCAAAGGAATGGCTCCCAAGAAAACAATCTCCATCAAATTATACTATAAGTTACAAAAGACAACAAATCTCAATTTCCAATATATATTGAGAAAATATTTACAGCCGGGACAAACAAATCTCAATTTCCAATATATATTGAGAAAATATTTACAGCCAGGACTGTTGCGGAGCGGTGGAAAAAGGCAAATATACACACAAATTTTTTTTTTTTTTTTTCAAATTAAAAATTGGCATTTTTATTGAGAATTTTAAGAATGGTTATTGCTTGACAATGTAGTTTGGATAAAAATTTGAATATCACGAAGGAATAAGAAGTAGTGAACTAACCTGGATGTCACAAGAGAGGGAGAGACAGATTAACAATCATTACTCGTTATAATTTGTAATCACTAATTTTGAATCAAAGCACAATTTTAAATGAAATAATATTTGAACAAGTAAAAAAGTTGTAAGTTCGGCCGGGCCGAACATTGAATAACCTCCACCATTTGGTACAAATTTGACAATTTTCAAAAAAATGAAATCCGTTAAAAATTCTATTAAAATCTTAAAAATATCGAATGTAGCCGTATATTAGGGTCTATACGACGATGTGGACCTGCATAGGCAACTTTTGTCACAAGCTATTACAATATACTAATGCGAAAGTTGAAAAAAAATCTGTTTAGAATGTACATAAAATCATCAAAATACCGAATATAGGGTGGTACTATGGAGGTTATAAATGGACCTGCCCAGACAATTTTCAGTCATAGGCTGTAGTTTTCATTACGAAATTCAAATATCAAATTTTAAATAGTTCCGGTATATAATGTCGCTAAAATCATCAAAATAATGAATATCGGGGTGTACCGTTATATGGGGGCTATACGAAGACGTGGACCTACATGGTCCCTTTTCTGTCATAGGCTGTAGTATTCATTACAAAATTCAAATACTAAATTTGAAATAGTTCCGGTAAATAACGTCTCTAAATCATTAAAATACCCAATATCGGGAGGTACCGTAATATGGGCTACACGAAGACGTGGAGCTGCACAGACAATTTTCTGTTATAGGCTGTAGTATCCATTACGAACTTCAAATGCCGAATTTGAAACAATTCCGGTAAATAATGTCGCTAAAATCATCATAATGCCGAATATCGGGAGGTACCGTTACGAAGAGGTGGACCTGTACAGACAATTTTCTGTCTTAGGCTGTAGTATCCATTACGAACTTCAAATGCCGAATTTGAAACAATTCCGGTAAATAATGTCGCTAAAATTATCAAAATACCGAATATCGGGGGGTACCGTTATATGGTCGCTATACGAACACGTGGACCTACATGGCCCATTTTCAATACCAAAAGTACTGCAGACAAAATAAACATTTGAGTAAAATTTTATCAACCTACTTCATTTTGTTCGGAAGCTAGATTGATTTCCACAGACGGATAGACGGACGAACATTTCTAAATCGACATAGAATTTTATTCGGATCAAGAATATATATACTTTGTGGGGTCTAAAATGCATATTTCGAGGTGTTACAAACGGAATGACAAACTTAATATACTCTTCATATTATGGTAGAGGGTATAAAAATCGTAGGAGAATAACAAAAGGTTGTATTTTTACTAATTTTAATTAAAATGTACTTGGACAGTGTTCATGTTTCGGAGCAGCGCCCATATATAGGATGCTCCTGATTTCATACCCCTTTTTTAAGGTACATCCCAAGTATACGTTCCCCACCGATTTGGTATGGTGTGTGACAACAATTTTTTGTGGGAAGTCAGAAAAGCAAAACTCCAAGATTATTATACCCTCAGCCATATGGTTATTTATCATTTGATACGGCCAAAACGTGTCTAATCGAAATAACGGTTTTAGACCCTAGGTCTCTTTGGACCAAAGCCGCTTCAGGACATTTGGAGTCGATCTAGCTATGTCCGTCCGTCCATCCGTCTGTCTGATTGTCTGGCTGGTGTGCACGATAGCTTCCGAAAGGAGTATCCGATTTGACTTAGAACGAGTTCGGAGATGGCAATATCGGTTCACTCCTTCTAGTACCAACCACCCCCATAAAATGTCAAAATTTTCTAAGAAAATAAAAGGACAAACACAGAAAGGAAAATGATAATCCGATTTTGCTCTGCATATCCTTTATTTTGCATATCCTAATATTGCAACTTCTTCTGGTACCTCCACCATACAAAAAATTTGAATTTCCATGAAGCTCATAAAATTCGAAACTAACATCCGATTCCATTCAGACAACAAAGGGTCAACGTTTTGAATAACCAAAACGGTTATAAAATCCGAAATAAGTATCCGGTTCTCTTCATATTCAACACATCACAATATTTTTATTCACCCAAGGTCTGGTCTGAGTATGGAACATATCGATCCACTCATTCTGATACCTTCCTTACAAAGGGTCAAAATTTTGAATAACCAAAACGATCATAAAATTCAAAATAAGCAATTGGTTATCTTCATATTTCACACATCCCATTAGTTCTACTAACACCAGATATGCTGTGAAGATGGGATATATCGGTATATTCCCTCTGGAACCTCCCCCACAAAGGGTCAACATTTTCAATATGAATGGTGCTCATAAAACGCAAAATTAACATCCGATTCCATTCAGACTTTCTACATCTCAATACTTCCATCAACAAAAGACATATTATCAAGATGGAAAACATAGGACCATTTCTTCTGGTACCTCCCCCTAAACATTTTCAATATCAGTGGTGCTCATAAAACTCAAAACTAACATGCGATTCCATTCAGACTTGGTACATCTCAATACTTCCATCAACACAAAATCTGTCATGAAGATGGAAGACATCGGACCATTTCCTCTGGTACCTCCCCCTCCACAGGGTTTAAGATTTTGAAAAACCAAACGCTCAAAGAAAGCGAAATAGGCATTCCAACTCTCTCTGTTAACACAAGATATGTTGTGAAAATGATATATATCTGCGACCCCTTCTAGTATTTCACCCACAATGGGTCACAATACTTTTACTCACTTGCGAAACAAGTGAGCGATTCTTCACAACTTTCTGTATTTAAGTATTTCTTTCAACCAGGTACCTAAGATAAATATAGAATTTATAATTTCGCATAAAATTGGATAAAAATGTTAAATTTTCCTTTTATCGGTATTAGATAAAGTATGAAAATGGAATTTTTCGGTCGATTATAGCTGGTATCTCACGTATATTTTAAAATTTTCTAAAGTGAAGTGATTTAGTTCAATCCTGGCACGTCGCAATATTTATATCATAATTATTTAGGTCCTTTACGAAATGGACAATATTGGCTCATTCCATCGGAATGTACTCCATGCAAATTCAATAAAAATTAAAATATATTTAAATAATCGAACATTTGCTGAGGGTATAAATCGGTCGGCAAAATTGACTGATACTTCTTAACTTGTTTTTATACCCTTCACCATATATAATCTTGATCAGCTTAAAATTCTATGTCGATTTAGCGTCCGACTGTCCGTCTGTGGAAATCAAGGATTTGAAGTAGATTGACAAAATTTTGCTCAAATGTATGTTATGTCTGCAGGATTGAAAATTGGTATTGAAAATGGGCCATGTAGGTCCACGTTTCGGTATAGCCCCCATATAACTGTACCTCCCGATATTCGGTAGTTTGATGATTATAGCGACATTTTCCACCCGAATAGTTTCATATTTTGGATTTGAAGTTCGTAATAGACAAAAAATGGTCTGTGCAGGTTCACGTCTTCGTATAGCCCCCATATAACGGTACCTCCCGATATCCGGTATTTTAATGATTTAATCGAATTTATTCAGCGGAATTGTTTCAAATTTGGTATTTAAAGTTCGTAATGGATACTACAGCCTAAGACAGAAAATTGTCTGTGCAGTTCCACCTCTTCGTAAAGCCCCCATATAACGGTACCTCCTGATATTCGGTATTTTGATTTTATCGACATTATAACCGCTTTTTTAAGTTTCGCATTTGAATATTGTAATGGTTTATGACAAATGTTACCTACGCAGGTCCATGTCGTCGTATAGACCCTAATATAACAGCTACATTCGGCATTTTTAAGATTTTAACAGAAGTTTTAACGGATTTTATTGTTTTTGAGATAAAATATATAAAATAATTTCCAAAAAATATTAATAACATTTTCCTATATAATGGCCATAAAGTATATTTCACTTGAACCATAATATGGCCTCAATTAACTTGGTCATAATTGTAATGACATTTTGATCACTCAAAAATGTTTCTTTAAATAATTTCCATGACCTTAAATTTGCAAAATCCCACTTTAAAAACAAAGACAATTGAAAAAAAAACAAAAACATTTTTAATTATGTATATTTTTCTTTGGCAAGACTATAAAAAACCGACAATTAATAATAATAATAATAAAACTTAACTACATAATATTCGTACTTAAAATATGTTTTAAAAAACAATTTGCATTTTCCAAGAAAAAAATGAAAAAAAAATCAATTGTCTTAATCTATTTTACTTCCACTTGGCTTGACAATCAACGGTCTGTCAACCTCATCGATGCGCATTGTTTGTGTGTGGCTTGGATCGATGGCGGCATTGAAGTTATTTTCCTGCTGTTCGTCAGGAAATTCGCTGGCCAAATGTGTTATAACCTTGTTGAAGAGGAATTCCGAGAGGTTTTTACGCAAAAAGAACAAAAACATCCAATTGGAGAAGTTACATTTGCGCACAACCAGTGAGATTTCCTTGTCATCGAGGCGACCCGGTTTGGCCCAGTAGAGGCAGTAACGGGTGAATCTGGTGCTGGAATTAAAATCCAAAATTGAAATAATCAAATATGTCTTTAAAAAATCAAATCTTCCTTACCTCTTGTAAAAGAACAATGTAAAAACTCGCCAAATCAGCCCCAAAACGGTGGCGGCAAAAACGAAAGCATACCAAAACCACAAAATCGTATAAATCTTCTCGTTGATAATATTCAGGGCCATCACACACAGCGTATCGTGCATTTGCAGCGAACCACTGGGACCATATTTATGGAAATGACATTTGGTCACTTTGGGAAATACCACATCCAAGGCATCCATTTGATTGTTCCAACGTTCGTTCCACACTTTGGGTCCCAGCGACAGGAAAGCACCACCCAAAAATAAATTCGTCCAATAGATTTGTAAAATCAAATTCAAGAGGTTGAGAATTTCCGTGAACACCAAATGTGCACCCCACGATTGATTCAGTCGCATGCGATCGATCATTGTGCGGCGTATATCTTTGACACGCATTTCCGTCTCCTCTTCCGATGGAATATTCAATTTGCCAATTTGCATGCTTTTGTTCTTCAAATATTTCGAAAGACCAACCATGCGCAAACCGAAGACGAGAGCCTTGATGCGACCACCTGGAAGAAATTGAAAAAAATGGGTAAAATAAGTTTTAGGCCGTAGATCGGATCCGGTGGTATTCTAGTCTTCACAAAAGGAGAGTAATGTGGAAAGTAAGAATTCAATACAATACAAAACGGCAACATACTTCGGCTTTCACGAATCCGAACCGTAACAGATCTATCTATTACCGATTCCGATCTATCTATTACCGATTGACTGATTGGCTGACTGATTTAACGATTAATCAACGCCCGGATGAAATGACTGAGGCAAGAAACTTGAAATTTTGGGTGAGGGTCACTCTTGGTCCGGAGTGGTCAGATAAGACTGGGTTTTTGAAAATTCGTACTAGAATGGTACGAAAAGTGTTAAAAGGTACTAAATATGGTTCCCTTTGTATTTGAGGGACCAGTTGAGCTAGAACCCTTTTTGTTCTAGAATGAGGGTCACTAATGGAGTATATGGTATATAGATGTACCAAAGGCTTTTTGAAAATTCGCAATATAAGTGTACGAAAAGTACCAAATGTACCACATTAGGTAACATTTCGTATCATGTAAACGGTTAGAGCTAAAAACTTGAAATTTGGAATGGGAATCAAGGTTGAGGAATAGAGTCGATGAATTTGACGGAACGGATGGAGCAGGAGTCCTGAAATTTGAAATTAACATTACTGGTGGAGTGTAGAATTGGGATACGCAGGTAGTTTTCGAATTGTGTACCTATGTACACGAAAACTACAAAATGGTACTAAATTTGGGACAATTTGGATTTGGATAAACTGATAGAATTGGAATGCTGAAAGGACTGACAAATAAAGGAAATTCGTACTTATGTGTACTAAATGGCACAATTTAAATTTTGGGTAAACCATTGGAAGTGGGATCCTGATATTTAACTAGTAAAAAAGCAGTAAGTTCGGCCGGGCCGAACTTTAAATACCCTCCACCATTTGGTACAAATTTGACAATTTCCAAAAAATAAAATCCGTTAAAAATTCTGTTAAAATCTTAAAAATACCAAATGCTTATACAACGACGTGGACCTGCACAGGCAACAACATTACAACATTAAAATGCGAAACTTGAAGAAAAATCTGTTTATAATGTACCTAAAATCATCAAAATACCGAATATGGGGGGTACCGTTATATGGGGGCTATACGAAGACGTGGACTTGCACAGACAATTTTCTGGCATGGGCTGAAGTATCCATTACGAACTTCACATGCGAAATTTGAAACAATCCCGGTAAATAATGTCGCTAAAATCATCAAAATACCGAATATCGGGGGGTACCGTTATATGGGGGCTATATGAAGACGTGGGCCTACATGGCCCATTTTCTGTTTTATGCTACAGTATCTATTACGAACTCCAAATACCAAATTTGGAACGATTCCGTTAAATAATGTCGCTAAACTCATCAAAATACCGAATATCGGGGGGTACCTTTATATGGGGACTACACGAAGACGTGGACATACATGGCTCATTTTTTGACTTTTCCATTACGAACTTCAAATACCAAATTTGGAACGATTCCGTTAAATAATGTCGCTAAAATCATCAAAATACCGAATATCGGGGGGTACCGTTATATGGGGGCTATATGAAGACGTGGATCTACATGGCTTATTTTTTGACTTAGGATGTAGTATCCATTACGAACTTCAAATACCAAATTTGAAACGATTCCGGTAAACAATGTCGCTAAAATCATCAAAATACCGAATATCGGGGGGTACTGTTATATGGGGGCTACACGAAGACGTGGACCTGCACAGATAATTTTCTGTCTTAGGCTGTAGTATCCATTGCGAACTTCAAATGCCAAATTTGAAACAATTCCGGTGAATAATGTCGCTAAAATCATCAAAATACCGAATATCGGGAGGTACCGTTATATGGGGGCTATATGATAATTTGGACCTACATGGCCCATTTACGAACTTAACCTGCCTACTGGCAAAATATATATGTGTACAAAATTTTAGCCTTCTATCTCAATTTGTTCGGAAGATAGCGTGATTACGACAGACAGACGGAGGGTATAAAAATAAGATTTCTATGTGTGCATGATGTAGGTAGTTATGTAGGTAGTTTGTACTCAAGTGTACTAAATGGTACTAATTTTGATACAATTAGGATTTGGGTAAACCAATAGCGCTTGTATCCTGAAAATTGCAAATAACATTACTGTCGGGGTGTAGGATTGGGATATGCAGGTGGTCTTGGAAATTCATAATTATATGCACTATAATGTACAAAATAAAGTACAATTTGTATTTTGGCGAACTAACAGGGGTGGAATCCTAAAATTTGGAATTGGGATAAATGTGGGAATATAGGATTGGGGTATGTAGAAAGCTTTGAAAATTCGTTCTTATGTGTACTAAATGGTACTAAATTGTGATGAACCGATGGAGCTGGAATTCGAAAATTTGAAATGCGAGTCACTGATGGAGTGCAGGATAGATGCACCCACCATAGGGTTATTGGATATTCGGACTTTGAAAAATTTGAAATGCGAGTCACTGATGGAGTGCAGGATAGATGCACCATAGGGTTATTGGAATAGGGCTATTGGAAATTTTGAAGCTGAAATGTTGAAATTTTGTATTGGGGCATCTCTTGGTAGTAGGTTCGTAACAAAGAGGAAATATGTACTACAAGTGCACGAAATGTACTAAATAGTACTATATTTGGTACAATTTGCCTTTGGGTGAACAGATAATGCTTTAATCTGTACTATAATTGCAGGAATGAAAGTATTGAATGGTGCTATATTTGGTATTCAGTGAATCAATAGAGCTGGTATCCCGAAATTTTATATTGAGGTACAGTGGTGGCCATATCATATGCAACTGAAATCTAACCTTTACCAAAAACCGTGAAAAATTTTTCTGAAAACAAAATTATGCAATTATTTTTTTAAATATTATTTTTTATTGCTTGTAGTTTAAGAAAAAAACATATACTCCATAGATATTCAATTCATTTATAAAAAAAATTAGAAAAAGATATTCAGTCTTATTATGAAGTGGCCAAAACATATGCAACTAATTAAATCGAGCTCAGTAAAGTGCAAATAAAGTTAATATTTTGTTGCAAATCCGTTGTTGTCGATTACAGCCTGACATCTTCGAGGCATTGACGCTATAAGATTGTCAATGACGCTTTTTGGGATTGATTTCCAGGCATCTTCCAGCCGGCAAAATAAAACATCTAAACTTGTACAATTTTCTCGATCAATTTTTTTGTTTACGATTTCCCACAGGTTCTCTATTGGGTTTAAATCTGGGGATTGGGGTGGCCATTCCATTACCGTAACTCTATTATCGGCAAACCACGATTTGACCACCTTCGAAGCGTGTTTGGGGTCGTTGTCCTGTTGAAAGACCCACCGCAATGGCATATTATATTCTGCGAATGGGAGCATTACCCTTTGCAATATGTCTTTATACATAAATCTATCCATAATACCAACAATTCTATGTAGGGGGCCAACTCCAGCACCAGAAAAACAACCCCACACCATTATATTGCCCCCTCCATGCTTGACCGTTTTTTTACAGTAACGTGCTTCGAGTCGTTTTCCTTCTGGTCGCCTTACATAGCACATGCCATCGCTACCAATGATGTTAAATTTGGACTCATCACTAAATAATATAGTTCTCCATTTACTCTCTGTCCAATTTATATGAGCTTTAGCAAATTCCAAACGCTTTTTCTGGTTTCGCTTCGATATCAGTGGTTTTTTTGCAGGACGTCTTGCGCACAGGGAGGCTTGTAAAAGTCTTCTACGGATGGTGCGAGCAGAAACTGGCAACTGAAATCTTTCCACTATCTTAGAGGAAGATATAAATGGGTCTTTTTTCACGTGTCTGATTATTAATTTGTCCGTCCGATCGCTTGTTTTTCGACTTCGACCACCACGGTGTACAACAGAGACTTGTGAATTTTTTTTGTAATTATTAATGATGCGCGATATGGAGCTTTTATGAACGGTATATTTCTCGGCAATACATTTCTGTGATAATCCAGAAGAATACGCAGTCACAATTCGTTGTCTGAGCTCAAATCCAAATTTATCGCGTGCCATTTTTGACCAAACTCTATTGTAGCTTTGTGAAAAAACAACGCAATAAAAATGTGAAGGTAGCTTTAAATCTCTTTACGCAGTGTCTCTAGCTAATAATAAGAAGAACAATAGAACAAAGGAAATTGTAAAAATGCCGTTATTTAAACCAAATATATAAAGTTGCATATGTTTTGACCACACCAAATTTCATATTTGTCAACAAAACACCTGTGAACATAGAGATATAAACAAAAGCTGCACATTTTGATAATAATTTGAAATCGTAAGAACGTATTGACTATAATTAACCCATCTTTATATACTTCGTTGTGAAATTTACAAATTTATATAGCCTTTTAACGTAGATGAATCTTAGTTGCATATGATATGGCCACCACTGTATGTCTCTTGGTATCTGGTCTTGTAGTTTTGGAAATATGTACTATGGTTGTACTAAATGTTGTTAAATTTAGCAATGGGGGAAATTACAGAGCTGGAATACTGAAATTTGATATTAAGGTCACTGTTGGTATCTGAGATTGAGATGTAGAGACTATTTTGAAAATGCGTGCTATAATTTTACGAAAAGTACTAAATTTGGTGATGGGTGGTTGGTGGAATAGACATGGAATACCGGAATTTCACATTGAGGTTTCTGCATTATTTGAGATTAAGATATGGAGATGTGGGTTGTGGAAATATAGAATGTGACAGAAAATTGTCTAAACAGCTCCGGGTCCCCTACTTTAACGGGTACATATCTATAGTCAGTATTTTGATGATTTTAGCAAAAAATTTTCAATGGAATTATCTGAAATCCACACATGAAGTTCTTTCTAAGCACTTTACCCCCTGGAAGAAAATTGTTTATATAGGTCCACCATATCGTATAGCCCCCATAAAACGGTACTCCCCGATATTCGGCATTTTCTGTTTTTTTGGGACATTATTCATCGGAGTTGTTTCAAATTTCCTATTTAGAGTTAGGTACTACAGCCCATGACAAAAAATCAAAATGTAGGCCCACGTCTTCCAATATTCCATTATTAGATGATTTTAGCGACATTATCCTCCAGAATTGTGCTCAAATTTCGTATAAATTAAATTTCGTTCATGGTTCTCTTTTTAAAATATTTGCACGTAAGAGAGAAAATTCTCTCGGAAGAAATTTTCGAATAATTTTTGGTGGAAAAGTTATTATAAACAATTTGTAACTCTTTTCTGACTATGTCTCTCTTAATGTCGCTCATTTACTCAAAGAGACTTTCATTTTTTGAGTTTTTGATATCTGTAAATCTCAAAGAGTTACAGCTTTGGATATAGCTCCCATATATGCATCCATCCGATTTCAGATTTATTGTGCACAAAATGGTTAATGGCGTTTTAGATATAGTTGGAACTCGCATATATATGCTTCACCCGATTTGATGTTTAAATCCTCACTTTCGTAATATGCACTTTACAACAATGGTATTCGGTACCATATATCTAGTAGAGCTCAGAAATACCTTTGCCAAATTATGTCGAGATCGGTTCAGATTTGGACATAAATATCTTCGGCCAATTTCAGGTTTATTGTGCACCAGATTGGGTAAAATTTGGCACTTCCGACCGAATTCAGTTTTTGGTACCAAAAATATATATGGTGGTCAGAAATACCTCTGCCAAATTTTATCGAGATAGGTTCAGATATGGATATAGTCCATTTGTGCTGAAACCCTGAAATCGGATAAGGATATAAATGGAAGAAATCTTAATCCGATTTCAGGTTTTTTTGCGCACCAAATGGCTAATATCAGCACAAATGGACTGAATTTGGGCACTACTGACGAAATTCAGCCTAAAAGCATCAATGTTCTTTGGTCCATATTAGGAATGATCTACTTCACATAAATTTCCAATATAAACTTTTTTTTGTGGACGGTTTCACATAATTAGCTCTGCCCGACTTGGTGTTTTTGACCTTTCTTTGGTGTTTTTTATACCCTCCACCATACTATGAAGGGTATATTAATTTTGTCATTCCGTTTGTAACTCCTCGAAATACTCATGTAAGACCCAACAAAGTATATATATTCTTGATCAGCGTAAAATTCTAAGACGATTTAGCCATGTCCGTCTGTATGTCTGTCTGTCCGTCTGTCTGTTGTAATCACTCTATCTTTCGAACAAATTGAGATAGAAGGTTAAATTTTTGCACACATGTATATTTTGCAAGTAGGGAGGTTAAATTCTTAAATGGGCCATGTAGGTCCAAATTATCATATAGCCCCCATATAACGGTACCTCCCGATATTCGGTATTTTGATGATTTTAGCGACATTATTCGCCGGAATTGTTTCAAATTTGGCATTTGAAGTTCGTAATGGATACTACAGCCTAAGACAGAAAATTATCTGTGGAGGTCCACGTCTTCGTGTAGCCCCCATATAACGGTACCCCCCGATATTCGGTATTTTGATGATTTTAGCGACATTATTTAGCGGAATCGTTCCAAATTTGGTATTTGAAGTTCGTAATAGATACTGCAGCATAAAACAGAAAATGGGTCATATAGGTCCACATATTCATATAGCCCCCATATACCGTACCCCCCGATATTCGGTATTTTGATGATTTTAGCGACATTATTTACCGGAATTGTTTCAAATTTCGCATGTGAAGGTCGTAATGGATACTTCAGTCCATGCCAGAAAATTGTCTGTGCTGGTCCACGTCTTCGTGTAGCCCCCATATAACGGTACCCCCCATATTCGGTATTTTGATCATTTTAGCTACATTATAAATAGATTTTTCTTCAAGTTTCGCATTTAAATATTGTAATAACTTATGACAAAAGTTGCTTATGTAGGTCCAAGTCGTCGTATAAGCATTCGGTATTTTTAAGATTTTAACAGAATTTTTAACGAATTTTATTTTTTGGAGATTGCCAAATTTGTACCAAGTGGTGGAGGGTATTAAAAGTTAGGCCCGGCCGAACTTACAGCTTTTTTACTTGTTTTTTTTTTTTTTTTTGTAATACTCTATTTGATTCGGGAAGTCAAATTTTAATCAATAACTTTAAAATATTTATTTCGAAGCCGATTTCTTTGCCATTTGACACACTTTGAGTAAATGAGCGATATTTACTCTTATTGAGAGCGACATTTCAAAATAATTCTAAAAGAGATTCTACGGCTAACATCTCTTACCTTCCCATGACTTCCATAGGGCATGTGGGATATAGAAGAACAATGCCTGGCCAAATAACACAAAAGGTACCCATTGATAGTAGGCATGGCGTTTTATGGGTTCCTCTTGTGTCTCATAGGGTCCAATGCCGGGCTGGAAGATGGCTCCCGCTGCCAAGGCGCTATTATTTAAATGTCGTACCTGGAAATTAAAAATATCACAATGTTTTCCAATCCAAATCATGTATTGAAATATTATAACTTACCAAAGTAAATGTTGGTGTAAAAAAGCAATAGGTGTTGACCACATGGGAGGGTATGGTATCCGATATACACTTGATGTGCTCACCAATGTACTGGCGAGAGCATACCAATATTGTGGCAACTATTAATATAATAAATGTCCAACGGTAATGTAATTTGAAAACAAAATTATCGATTGTCACCCGTTTGGGGTTGAATTTCAAAAACGGTGTCACTGAACTGAAGGTACTCAGCATTTTCACTTAATTTTTTGATCAATCACTTGCAAAAAAAATAATTATTTCTTCGATTTCACACACTCATCAATGGGAAGGGAATATTACTTTCTACACTTTCGGAGTTTTTTTTCTGTCACTATAAAATTTCGGATTTTTTTTATTCGATTTCAAATGGAATTTATAGCCCTTGCAGTTATTTTAGCGCGCATTAAATTACTCCGCCGTCCTCATAACGTTCGTAATACATTTCGTCAACTGAACTCATGCTCGATATAGTCCATATCAGTACGCCGTTGTCCCTCAAAAGTTAGAGCGGCAAATTGTAGCTGTTTCTTCACTCGGTTTTTCATTTCAGCACCACTTCGTCAGTAATATTTCTCTGATAAAGAAACAAAAAATCGAAATATACACGGACATGCCTACACAGCACTTGTTGATTCGTATTTCTTCACATAGTTTTGAGTTAAAATTGTTTCTAAACAATATTTGGAACTCTTTTTCTTTCAACTGTTTTGATAAGATAAAGTTTCTTCCAAAGTGAAATTTGAGTAGAACATTGTGATGTGAGGTTCTCAGCGCAAAGACGCAAGTCAAAAACCCGGAGGACTTGACACTTTTCGAGCACGCTTCATTATTTCTAGATGGGGTTTTAATATTTTTATTTTAGTTTGATTTATTTCAACATCTGGGACTGCAAGTGTAAGCAGTTTTTTTTTTTTTTCACAAAATGACAAAACCAAAATTTGTTGCAAAACGTATGTCAAACTGTTTGAGTGATGTAAATATATTTTGGTTATTCGATCCAATAACAATTAGTTCGAAAATCTTTAAATTTATATGGCAGTTGTACTATTTTTGGCAACAACAAAATTTAACTGGATTCGATTTGTTAAAATGTATTGCAACTTCATTACGAAATTATTCTAATTTTAAAATTTAAGATAAATTTTTTCAAGGACTTTCAGAATTTGAATTGAATGAATTTTTAAGATAAACAATTTTCCAGACAAAATCATGGATATTATACCCTACACCACATAGTGAAAGGGTAGTATGCCTTTGTCCATTTGCTTGTAACATTTAAAAAAGAAAGCTATATAGACCCATAGTTTCTTTTGAGGATCTCCATAGAATCACTTTCTAGAAATGAAGCGAGGAAGCTCATTTCTAGAAAGTGATACCATTCCTGGGTGGCCCCTGTTGCGTGTGATTGTGCTGAGTCCTGTTGGAATGTCCAAGGTCTGCGGTCAAAATGTTTGCGAGCCCAAGTTTTTAATACACCCTCTAGAATATTTTTGCGATAACATTCGGCATTCGTTCTATTGCCACACCAGACCATGGTCGGCGCTTGAGTTCTGGTGGTCAACTTTTACTTTTCGAACCGTTTCTGCTGATGTTGCTGTTTTCTTCCGTCCACTTCTTTGACGTCAGGCTACCAGTATCACGGTAACAAGCGATGATACGAGACACAAAAGATTTATTCACATTGAAATGCTGGAGTGCTCTAATGATAGCCACTAGTGGTTTTCCAGCCAGATATAAATAATTCACACTATCATGCTTGAATCCCACCACGAATAACTTTTTTCCGGGAAAATTCTCACCAAAATGCTTTTGTACGCTTGTAAACAATATAATAAGCTGTCAGTGGAATAGTTTTAACAGCTGTCGGACGAGTGACTTAGAAATGACAGCAGTTTGAAATTCGTTGCAATTTTGTTTCAAGTATTATTAGACTCAAATTTGGAGATTTTCACATAATATTTTTCTAAGGATTATTAGAGCCATAAGACTCTTCAATGACAACATTTGAGAACCTTTTTCCAGGATTATCACAACTAGAATTATGAATTTTTAAGAAATATTTTTTGAAGAATAATTTCCCTAGAACTAAATTTTGTATTTTTGGGGATTTTTGAAACATTATTTTTGCAGGAACTATCAGAGCTATAATTCGTAGTATTTATTTCCAGGACTATTAAAGTCATATGCTTTTGTACGCCAAAATGCTTTTGTACGCTTGTAAACAATATAATAAGCTGTCAGTGGAATAGTTTTAACAGCTGTCGGACGAGTGACTTAGAAATGACAGCAGTTTGAAATTCGTTGCAATTTTGTTTCAAGTATTATTAGACTCAAATTTGGAGATTTTCACATAATATTTTTCTAAGGATTATTAGAGCCATAAGACTCTTCAATGACAACATTTGAGAACCTTTTTCCAGGATTATCACAACTAGAATTATGAATTTTTAAGAAATATTTTTTGAAGAATAATTTCCCTAGAACTAAATTTTGTATTTTTGGGGATTTTTGAAACATTATTTTTGCAGGAACTATCAGAGCTATAATTCGGAGTATTTATTTCCAGGACTATTAAAGTCATAATTTTGGATTTTCACATAATATTTTTCACAGAATTATCAGGGCTAAAAGCGGGCCATATCAGTACCTTAATCCTGGATTTTAAAGACTATTTTTAATAGATTGTCAAAACAATAATTAAGGATTTTTAAGGAACATTTTCGGGGAACATCAAAGCTATATTTAAGAATTTTTAAGAAATATTTTTCAAGGACTATCGAAGCCACAATCTTGAATTTTTAAGGAATATTTTCAGGGAATATCGAAACCATATTTGAGAATTTTTAAATAATATTTTTCGAAGGAATATTAGGGCTATAAACATGGATTTTTCAGAAATAATTTTCCAAAGATTTTCAGAGTCCTAGGTTTTTTTTAAAACCCTCCACTGTTAAGAGTATATTAAATTTGTCATACCGTTTGTAACATATCGACATACACATGTTAGCCCGAACATAGAGTAAATTATGATTTTTCAAAATGTTGACACTTTACGGAGGGGGTATCGAAGGACCAATAGTGGATAGTATTGGTCCTTCGATACCCCCTCCGTCTAAAGTAACACTGAAAATGTGCATCTTCGGTTGGCCACCAGAACTCAAGCGCAGGCCATGGTGATGGTGTGGGCCGCCATAACAGCCGATGGACGCTCTCAGCTCCTATTAATCGACCGTGGCATCAGAATAAATTCGGAATATTATCGCGAAAATATTCTGGAGGGTGTATTAAAGCCTTGTGCACGCAAACATTTTGGCCGCAGACCTTGGACATTCCAACAGGACTCAGCACCATCGCACTGAGCACGCGCCACCTAAGAATGATTAGAAAATGAGGTTCCTCGCTTCATTTCCAGCGCACAAAGGCCAGCAAAATCTCCGGATACCAATCGGTTGGACTATTGTGTCTGGAGTATTTTGGAAGGTAACGTTGGCACTAAAAAATACCAAAATGTCGATCACCTCAAGCATGCGCTTTACCGGAAATGGGACAAAATTCCACAGAGCAACATTCGGGCAGCGTGTGTCTGTTTCATTGGCCGTTTGAAGGCCATAATTCGTGCCAAAGGTGACCAATTCGAACAAATCTAAACTTATCCTAAGATTTCATGCTATTTCCGACATTTTTTGCTTCATTCAATAAAATTTAAAAAAAATATGGCGTTTTACTTTGTTTCAGTTTTTTTTTTATCTCACCCTGCATATCTTTAACCAATATCAATTCAAATGATCTGAATTTTGGCACATCCTACCAAATTCAATGTAGAAGCAGTTATACCAAATTATATATATATTTTCATCCAATTTGGTGTTTAAATCCCTTACCTTCGTAATATGCAATCTTTAACAAAGAAAATTTGTACCAGATATTTAATAGAGCTCAGAAATGCCCCTGCCAAATTTTATCAAGATCGGTTCTGATTAGGATATAGCTCCCATATATATCTTTATCCGATTTCAGGTTTATTGTGCACCAAATGCCTAATATCAGCCCAAATGGAATGATTTGTTGAACTTCCTATCGAATTCAGCCTAGAAGCAAGTACATCAAATTTGGTGAAAATCGCTTCTAAAATAGCTATAGCTCCCATTTATATGTTTCATCTGATTTGAGGTTTTAAATCCCTCACTTTCGTAATATGCACTCCAAAGGCATGATATTTGGTACAAGATAACCTCTGGAGCTCAAAAATACCTCTGTCACATTTTATCTAGATCGGATCAGATTAGAATATAGCTGTCAAATATACGATTTCAGGTTAATTGTGCACCAAATGGCTAATATCAGCCCAAATAAAGTGAATTGTGGCCGAATTCAACCCAAAAGCAAGTATTTCAAATTTGGCTAAAATCGGTTCAGATATAGCTACAGCTTCCATATATAAGTTTTATTCCATTTCATTTTTAAATCCCTCAGTTTCGTAATATACACTTTATAACAATGGTTTTCGGTACCACATATCTTATAGGGTACAGAAATACCTTTGCCAAATTTTATCGAAATAGGTTCATATCTGAATATAGCTTCATCCCACTTCACGACATGTATCCATGCGATCTTTAAATTCAACTTGTACTATAGAATTTTTATAATTGTAAATATCGGGAGCTACAGTTACATGTAGGCTCTATTCGAAATAATAACCATTTTCTTTCAGAATCTAATGTGCCGAATTCAAACTTCAAAGTGTGAGCCATTGCAAGAAAAATTTTCAGAATCTATCTAACAATTCACCTCTTCAGATGAGTCCCGGAACGCCTCTCCTTACATGAACGACACCCTCATACAATTGCTAGGGGTTTCAAAAAAAATAGTTAATAACTAAACTAAAACATTAATATTGTCGCCATAACAGTCATAAATATACGTGAACTGGAAGCAGTCTACCACGAATGACACAGACCCTGATCCTATGTGATTGAGAACTAAATCCTAATTAATCACAATGGATTTATTACAAAAAATAAATATTTTTCTTGGCTGCAAAACAAAAAAATGTCGCAATAAAACATTTTAAAATCTCTTCGTTTATTTTTTTTCTTTTGTTTCTGCTGATACTGAAAATGGAGCTGCTTTTTTTTTTGAAAATAAAATATTTTAATTCAACGAAAAGTCAATGACTCAGATTTGTTTACAGCCATATTATCATTTAGCACATATTTGTTGGTATGCAAATATTTTTGTCACTGCTATTGTTTTTTTTTATACCCTACAACACTTTGTGTTGGAGGTATTATAAGTTTGATTGGGCCAAAAATTATGTAACGCCACGAAATATTGATTTCCCATATAGGAAAGTATATATGGATTTTCCTATCTCGCCGAGCTGAGTCGATCTAGCTATGTATGTCCGTCCGTCCGTCTGTCCGTCTGTCCATGTTAATTTATAATCACTCTACAGGTCGCAATTATGGCCCGATCTTCACGAAATTTAAAAT